AAACAATAAAATTCAATAAATAAAATAGATAGAATACTTAAAATACTAATAAGACGTAACAGTAAAACATTCACATACATTCCCACATACATGCTTTAAACTGTTTTACACACTTGTGCAAAAAGACCACGTTGAAAAAGGAATATGCTCTTTTATATTTAAAACATAACAATGTAAACGGGAATGCTGAGAAAGAGCACAAATGCACTGGCAGTTAGGGTGCATGGGTAGACTTTTTGTTTTTATTATTGTTATTATAAGTGTTTTGTAATGCAAACGCGAATGGTCACAGGATAAAGTCAGAACAAACTTTGCCCTGCACAAAAAAAGACAGTGTACCATTATGAGTCAGCAGATGTCTCTGTTGTACAACTCACCCCACCTCCTGCTTTTGTATTTCACAACACTGGCTCTGCCTGCTTTCATCTGAGGCAGTGGACTATGAACAAAGCCTACTAAACCATGTAAAATAACGTTAAGCCTCATCACTCACTCTGCGTGTCTTTTTGTAAAGGAGGGTATGAATTTAGGCTCTATGAATTACATTTAACGTCTGTGTTGACTATGCATGACTAATATTTTAAATCGCTTGATCATCCCCCCTAAAACCCGATTACTTTCTTTCGAAGAGTAGTTACTGTGAGAATATTTTCACAAGAAATCTGACGCAATAGTGCAATGAGACTGTTGTGTAGTAAGAGCCCTTACTTCACCTTTCGAATTAGTACATCTTCCGAGCACCGTCCGTATAAATACAAGGAAATTAGACATAATGTGAGCTGTTTTTGATTCATCATAAATACCACTCAGATGGACAACAACAACATTAGTCATTCAGAACATGTCCTACAGTCATGCAGAGAAAGCAGTTTATATTTCAAAGCATTAATCAGTGTAGAGTCAACCCTGCCAGGTCATCGTTAGAAAACAGCATTCCCTGCTGAAGAAAGGCTTTCCATGGAACGTTGTCTTTGCTCTTCCTAAAAGCAGCTTGACAATATTTTGGTTATCCATCTATTTCCTGTATCTCCAAGGACTTCCTGTATGTGAAACTGATGAATAAAACTGTGAGATTAATGACATTTGCCCAGGAATCTTTTGTGTGCATCTTTTGCTCCTGTTGACTTTTATTTTGTTTTGTGTTGTTTACTTTCTTTTCATGCATTATTCACAGATGATGGTTGAAAAGAAGATAACATGATACAGAAATATATAATAAAATTAAAGAAAAAGAAAAAGAAAGCAGAACTACACCAGCAAGACTTATTTATGTTTTTGGTGGGTTTTTCTGTATTATCCTTGTTAAATGTTGTAGGTAGAATGAATGGTGAGTGGAACAGTATAACTACAGGGTTTATTTTCTCACTTGATAAGTGAAAATGAGCTCTAACTGTTAAACCACATTATCAAAATTGCATTTTCTCATTGCTCTGACATGACCTAAGCGACACAGCAGGTGTAAGCGTGCAAAATGCATTTGACCCCGAAACACTTCCACAATTCACACTGAGCTCCTTCCCAGGTGGTTGGACCTACTCTAGCACATAGTTCCCCGAGTATGACATAACACGAAACACTTGCCCAATGAAGGTGGCAGTTGTGCTATTACAATAATCAGCTACGTTCACTCACAAGGGAGTTTCTGTGAAAGCGAGGAAAACCAGCTTTACATTGTCTTAATTCCCTGTGACGAAGATGAAAACACAAATGCACCGTGTCATCCACATTCCATGTAAGACACAAATTATTCAACATAAGGATTATCGTGGCTGAAACGATGATAAAAGTTCTGTTCCAATCATCCAAATGTTACCATAAAAAGAGGATTTTGGTTGGTTTGCACTGCATGCATGGTATGTCGTGTCTCCTTGGAATACGATACAGTGTAAGCTTTATTTTACCTCAGACAGATAGGTAACATCCAACATTTATATCCATTTATGGCTGAAACGTTTATACAAACCTGGAATTGAAATGCTGTTCAGTCACCCTTAGTTTACTCTCTGTATGCTCTTGGTGACTTTGTGGTGGTGTTGGTTTTGTGGCCTTTTTGCACGTACTTTTGTTTCGACTTATGTGACATAAGTCAGCGAGAAAACACTTAAACTATGTGAGAGTAATGTGAAAGGCATGTGGGTATTTTAAAGTGTGTGGCATGCAGCCTTGTTTGCTATGTAGAAAAGTGAAAGTAATTGATGTGTGTGTGTGTGTGTGTGTGGGTCTAATATTTCCTGGCAGTTTACAGCAGGGATTTCTAACTTATTTTAGTCAAAGTGCAAGCTAATTTCAGCTTAAGTGGGTAAGCTCAGTAAAAACATTCTGTAATTGTTTATATTTAATAATTTAATAAGTAAATATTATTACACATCCAAATATTCTCTTCTGGACATGAAGTAAAACTTTGAGAACTATTCAGCTCAGCCACAGGTAAGGTTTTTAAAAATTTTGCTCAAATTTTTAAAAATCTTAAAAACCATTAAAAAACACATTTCTATAACTTTACAACAAGGGGTATTACTTCTTACTTAATCATTTTTCTTTTTTCCTGAGAGTAATTTATAACACTAATGATGAGCAGGTGAGGACTTTTGAGATAAATAAGCATGATTTTGTTAGCTGTACATGTACATTATATTTTACAGATCACACTGTAAAGTAATAAAACATTGAAAAAAATATTTGACACCTTTAAGAATTAAATCACTGGACTAGATCTATAAATACGTTCTGTATCTTTCAGTTTCAGCACCATCACAGAAGGACTGGTGGTACATGTTATTGATTAACAGGAGTAATTAAGGTTTATTCTGAATTTTTTACACTTTGCCAAACCATCAAGTGGACCAAACAGGAACCTGTGGCGAACCGGTACGAGCCCGCGGACCGTATGTTTGGCAGCCCTTGTCTATGGGTTTGATTGACAGCTCGGCCTGTTTCTCCTGCTGCGCGTTCATGAGAC